TTTTTTAAAAAAAAAACCCTAAACCCCAGAAGTATAAAGCCCTAAGCCCTAAACCCTAAAGCCTAGTCTTGACTTAAGACCGGGGCCCTTATTGTAGTTATTGTATAATATTTCCCCCAAAACCCTATTCTAATTATTCAGGCCCCTACATTAACCGCAGTCTCAAACCGTGAGCCGCCACCCGAAACCCAAAACCTCAAACCCCGAAGCCTGACCCTCCAACCCCTGATTTGCTTGTGCCTTTCGCGACGGTTCAGGGTTGTGAATGCGGGTCGAAACAGTTTCCTTGTAGTCCATCTGTATCTACAGACAGTGTACTTCGGAACCTTACGCTGAGTCCGTAGATCGGGAGACTCCTTAAACTATGGAATGAAGTCCTCTACAATTTTGAGGGACGACGGCTGTTGGGCTCTCTGGGGCAGGGTTCGGGGACTACGGCTCTGCTAACGGCGCGGCATTCGTCGCTGCGGGAGTTGATGGCATGTTCCTGGGATCTCAGGTGCTAAAGCACAAGCCCTTCTTTTGGATGACAGAAGAGTTGTACGTGTGAAGCGGGAAAGGAGGGGACCCTGAAAACATTTGTTGCAGTCACAGAACTCATGTCATAAAGGGGGAGGGTTTGATGGTTTAGGGTTTAGTTTTTAGGGTTTAGGGTTATGGTTTAGGGTTATGGGTTTAGGGTTTAGGGTTATGGTTTAGGGTTATGGGTTTAGGGTTTAGGGTTTAGGGATGCTTTGTGGCTGAAGCAGGGCTTTGGGTCCTTCGGGCTTTCATACGTGGAGTGATCTGGGGGCGTAGTTGGTGCGTCGGAAGCTGGGCAGCAAAATGATGGCCCCGCTACAGAACCCCAGTCTGGAGTGCCCTGCCCCCAGCATAGGCCACCCTAAACCCTAAACGGCCCCAAACCCTACAAACCTAAACCGTAGAACCTTAAATTACTAAACCCTAAACCCCTAAAGCCCTAAACCCCTGAACCCAACAACCCTAACCCTGAAACGAAGAGCTCTAAACCGCAGAACTCTAAGCCGTAACCCTAAACCCTAAACCCTAAACCCTAAACCCTAAACCCTAAACCCTAAACTAAACACTCCGCTGCAGGCACCCGGATCATCAACGCCGGCCCCGCGATCTCCTACACTGGGAGCTCCTGTGATAAAAAAAGGGGGCCCAAATGATTACCAAGACTAGGGTTTAGGGTTTAGGGTTTGGGGTTTAGGGTTTAGGGTTTAGGGTATTTTTTGGGGTTCCTTTAAAGGGTTCCTTAAAGGATTCTTTTAAGGCTACTTTTAGGGTTTAGGGGGTAGGGCCCTTAAAAATTACATTTTCTATTTTGAGGGGTTCCTTTTCAAAATTATGGTATCATTGGCCCCAAAACCCTATTCTAATTGTGAAGGCCCCTGTATTACGGTTCAGTTTTTTTTTTGGGGGGGGTCTCGAGGTCTCAAAGAGGGCTTTAGGGGTCTCAGGGCTTTAGGGCTTTTCGGGTCGAGGGTTGTTTAGGGTTTGGGGTTGCTTACCTGTAACCGAAAAGACCCACCTTATCAACGAACTTTCTGGGGGCCTAGGGGTTTAGGGGTTTAGGGGCTAGGGTCTGGGGGTTTAGGGCTTTAGGGTTTAGGATTTAGTGGTTTAGGGTTTAGGGTTTTAGGGACTTTGGGCTTCGGGTTCAGCTACTGCTGCTACCACCTGCTACCCCGCGGACTGCGACGACCGTCTGTATCAGTCTGTATATTATATATATATATATATATATATATATATTATATTGTATTATATTGTGTTACATTATGTTATATTATATTACATTATATTATTTTATATTATATATTATTGATTGCGCCAGTTTTGGAAACGGCCACAGACTGGAGGGGACAAAATGGAACAAGGCCGAAGTGCAGAGCTGGAGCTCCTTTAGAGCCAGAAGCCTTACCATCGAAACAAGAAGCCCTAAACCCTAAACCCTAAACCCTAAACTCACAACAGGAAAAGATCTAAAGCCTAAAGCCTAAAGCCTAAAGCCTAAACCCTAAACCCTAAACCCTAAACCCTAAACCTCTCAAACTCGGACCACCAGGATTCCAAGCTGCACAGATGAACAGCTCAGGTGATCCGATCACTTTCTTCGGCGCCTGGGCAGCCTCTTGCAGGGTTCGGTGTAGCGTTTCGGGTTGATGGCTCGAGGGTGTCTTCCTTAGTGGAGCCTAAGTTGTGTTGTTGGTCCCGCGTCACGGGATATCCGGCCCCTCGGCTCTTCAGGGCATGTTACACAGCTTCATCAGGGTTCTGTTCTCGTGATCTTCGGGCAGGTTTAGGGCCTAGGCCCTGAAAAGGGTTTTGAAAGGGTTCCATGGGTTTCGTAGGGACCAGGTTTCGTCAGGCTTGTTCCTATTAAGCTGTACGTTGAACGGGACAGATTGGAACAGCCAGCAGACGCCAGGCCCGAGACCCAGACCCACAAGTTTCAAAGCGCACACCCTTCTCTTGACACTTGGGAGTCGTAAACAAACCCAGGGAACCCAATACCCCTTAATTAAGGAATATACTTTAAATCATAATACTAAGGCCCTTATAATTTAAGATATATTCCTTAATTAAGGGGTATTGGGTTCTCTGGGAATGGCATTCCGCTGCGCCTACACGAGCATGACGTACCTTAACGCAGCCTTCTGGAGCGGGCTTCGGCCCAGGTGGGCAGAAGTTCAAGTTCTGGTTCCCCTTGCATGAGGAGCGGCCGGGGGCTGACAGAGGGTCGTGCGCTGGCATGTTCGTGGCTTGTCTGGGCCTTTCGTCATTGGAGAGTTGAATTATGTCAAACAGGACAAGATACTCACGAAAGGTCCAAGACGGAACAAGTACCAACGGATGCAACATAGTTGCATATTCCACAGCTGAAGATGAGGGTACCGATCAAGATTGGTGGTTTTCAGGATGTTACGGCCTTTAACAAGGTTCTTATGATCAGTTTGTTTTTCGTGGCCTGGGAGTTTGCACTCTGGGTGTCGGATTGTTTTCGGAGGTTCAGCGTTTCATGGCTGCACGATGTGGGAACCCAGCTGTACGGTGTAGACCGATACTATTCTTGGGGAGGGCCTTAGGGCCTTAGGGTTTAGGGTTTAGGTTTTAGGGTTTAGGGTTTAGGGTTTAGGGTTTAGGGTTTAGGGCTTAATGCAGGATTTATATCATCAACGGTATGTCGCGAGGAGATGCTCATGCTGCAGACGCCGGAGCTACGAATTTATGGCCAGGTCTTCCCAGGCCTTCCCTGCAAGGGCCCAGTACTTTGGGCTTAGGGCTTAGGGCTTAGGGTTTAGGGATTAGGGTTTAGGGGGGACTTCGGGGCTTTAGGGCTTAGGGACTTCGGGGCTTTTGTGGGTTTTGTGTTGTTTTTGGGGTTTACTGTTGGGGGTGCGACGAAGTTCCCATCGTCGTCTTTCGGGTTCCTGATTATAAGTATCCCCCCTGCACTAGGGTTTGCGGTTTGGGGTTTCGGGTTCCGTTGTTCCGGGCTTTAGGAGGGTTTGGGATGTTCCGGGCCTCGCGTGGGGAGCTTCGACAGAAGTCTGAATCACAACTAAGGTTTAGGGTTTAGGGTTGAGGGTTATCTCTGCTTGCACTCCATGCATGAAGTACACTACAATGTGCAGTAGTTTCAGCATGATCATGTGAGCCCCTTCGGTCAAGAAGCTCCAAGCCCTGAAGCCGGAATCGGTCCCGAAGCCAGTTGTAATGATGTAGGAGTGATGCCCGCCCTAAACCTTAATCCCTAAACCCTGAACTCTAAATTCCTAAACCGTTTTGTGGTCACTACGTGCGGCTAGGGGCTAAAGCCGAAGCTCTGGGACCACTTTCCTACTGCAGCACCTTAAGCCTGGGTCCTTGTTGGATGCCATTTTACACTTTTGTTATCGTTAAACCCACTCCCACTCACTAAGGATGAAAAATGATCATTTTTAATATAGCCCCAACAGAGAACCAGAAACCCTACAAAAAGGAGCCTAAACCCTAAACCCTAAACCCTAAACCCTAAACGCTCTAGACTTTACAGTAAAAAAGCCCTAGTTTGGCGATCGGAAGCGGGGAGCTCCAGCCCCAACAGCCCCGGAAGAAAGAGAGGCACAGTGCTGCAAGTTTCGGGTTGCAGAAGGCTTCTACAGCTTTCCTCGGGCAGTTAGGGTTTAGGGTTTAGGGTTTAGGGTTTAGGGTTTAGGGTTTTTGAGTTGAGAGATTGGGGTACTGGGATTTTGTCATACTCTACATCTCTTGGCACGGGTACTAAGGCTCCTATGTTCTTCACCATGACGTGTGAACCCGCGGCCACAAAGCAAACCTTGAAACCCAAACCATAAGTAGCTCTGAACTGAACCCTGAACCCTGATCCCCGGAGCCCTAAGCCCTAGACCCTAGACCCTAAACTCTAAGCGCGATCAGGAGGGAGTCTAGAGGACTAGCTTTACTTAAAGGATCATGGGACTTAGTAAGTAGGGTTATAATTAGGGTAACTATACTTATAACCCCAATTAGGGGACTTATAACCTTACTTACTAAGTCCCATGATCCTCCAAGTAGGTGCAAGCTCGATATTGAGCCGGCTCTGAGACCTGTCAGCGGAGAAAGAGTCACTGCACTTTAAAGAAAAACTCTAAGCACTGACCCTAAAACTTGAACCCCCTAAACCCTAAACCCTAAACCCTAAACCCTAAACCCTAAACCCTAAACCCTAAACCCTAAACCCTAAACCCTAAAACTTGAACCCCAGACCCAAAGAGGACCTGAGCTGGGACTGCAGTGGTTCGGGCACCTGCGCGTGCTGCGCACGGATGGCACGCCCGTGACCCGGGCGTCTCGGCTGAGGTAGAGATTCCAGAGCGCTTCTTGGTTCAGGGTGGGCTTGAGGGTTTCAGGGTGTAGGGTTTGGGAAGATTTTTTGTGTTAGGGTTGTTTAGGGCAAAAGAGTATTTTTTCTATATCCAGTGTTTTCGTTTGGGGCTGCCGCGCAGGGTGTAGGGGGTTTAATACCTAGCTCAGGGTCCCTTATTCAGCAATCTGCCATAGCTTCAGGAAAGCTCTATCTATTCCAACAAAAAGGCCACTTCGAACCCTAAACCCTAAACC